AGAGAAGCATCTGCCACAATGCATTAGAGAGCTTGCAACAGCACGGGAACTGAGGGATCCGGCAATCACTTCTATGTGCGAAAGATGGAAAGTTAGAGAGCCCGGGATTGGGAGGGACCTCCAGGGAGCAATTCAGTTTAATATAGCCAACACTTACCCAGCACCCGCTCGTACAAGGCACTGTGGAATGGAAATATACAGGGATGTGTCCTTGTCCCTGCCTCGAGTTTTCAATCTGCTACGAAGAAGAGACTCCTGCACGACTAGCTCTAATATAGCGTAGAATGTGATATAGTAATAATGCAATTAACACAGTGCTGTCTGTGGCAGATGTGATCGCTCATCCTCATGGCAGCTCATTCAATAGGGCAGGTACTAATACCTTCCTGTACGATTCAGGAGGCTTAAGTGACTTAGCCAATTTTACACGCTAGGTAGGTGATACATGCAAGATTTAATCCCAGTGGTCTTTCCACCATATCCCTTGCCTGGATGCATTACTTTGATAAGAGCTTTGGGGGCAATGTTAGGAGAACATAGAACAGGATTAAAAATAATTTGGGGGTAAAAGGAGTGAATCATAAATGCTTCCTAGAGGAGCGTTTAAAGTAGGCCATGAAATAGGTAAGATTTTTAACAGACATTCACGGGATGGGGCAGGCATTTCAAGTTTAGGGAACAATCTGAGTAAAGCTAAGGAGACGAAATAATGCCTACATGGAGAATATAGTTCATGGTGCATTTGCACTAACGTGTAAGATCAGGATAGATTGATGGAGGCAGGGAAGTAGCGGAAGACGCGCTTGAAAATTAGGTCAGGGAGCAAATCAGAGAGCACTTTAAATGACATATTAAAGAGTAAAGGCTTTATTTCTAGGCAGTGGCGAGCCCCAAGGGCTAAAAGAATGATATCATCGGAGCTATTATTTAGGCAATTTAATTTGGAACCAGTGTAAAGGAACCACTTATGTAAGTGTTCAAGCAACGGGCCCTTGCTATGTGCCAGGCACCGTGCCCGGTGCTGAGGATACAGCAATGACTTAAACAACTGTCTGTCTCTGCCCTAAAGAACTTCCCGTCCAGTAGACTAGATTAGGAGGAGAGATGGAGGCTGGAACCTGGGAGAGCAGCTGGGAAGCACATCTGGTTAGATCCACCTTCAGAATATATCACCTCCCCACTGTCACCACACACACGGCACCCACCCCCCAGCTATCAGTTTTCACGTGGATTGTTAGAGAGGCCTCCTAACAGGACCCCTGTCCCACCCTTGCCTGCCCTGTGTCAGCCCCACAGCACTGTTCTCAGCCCTCCAATAGCTGCCCTCCATGCTGAGAATCAAATCCAGTGTCTGTGTCAGGGTCTACCGGCCTCATGTCATGACCCCTGACTGCTTCTCTCACCTCTTCTCCTTCCGCTGCCCCCTCAACTACCCTTTCCAGCAACACTGGCCTCCTTGCTATTCCTTGAACACACCACACACAGTGGTATCTCTGAGCTTTCGTACTTGCTGTTCCAGCTGCTGGAATGTTCTTCCTCGAGTTTTCTAAATGGCCTGCTCCATGCCTTCATTCTGGAAAGGTTTTCCCAGACCACCTCGTACCAAAAGCCCCTCACCCTGCTTTATTGTTCTTTAAAGAAATTCTCGGGCATATTATATATTTGTTTAGTTTCTGGATCCTTCACTAGAATATACATTAAGTAAAGGTAGATATCTTATCCACTGATGTAGTATCCCCACAGCCCATCCCAGTGTCTACCTGAGTAAGTGCTCAACACCTACTTGTTGAATGAATGAATGAATGAATGAAACTATTGCAAAAGCCAAAGAAACTCAAAGTAAAGCAGACAAATGAAAAGACGATGAATTCAAAAGATGCCAAAGGGTCCCATGCTGTCTGCTCTTCCCTGGCTGCCCCTTTCCCAGGAAACTAAGCTGGACAGAAGGGGTGGGGGTGGCTGTGAGAGGTATTTTTAAGCCTCGCTTGCTTATAGAGGGAACTGCAGAAGATAAATGGCTTTCTCAGCCTCTTTCCAATGAGGTCTCCCTCCCTCTGTCACCTCATGGGTCTCTGGGTCTTTTTCATTCCTCCTCCCCAATTGAGTCCTGGCAGTGTTGAGAGAGAGAGAGAGAGAGAGAGAGAGAGAGAGAGAGAGAGAGAGACCTACCCAAGGAGTTTAAACCTAGGGGAGGAAGGCAGACAAATTGGATCATTTTTCTAAAATGGGATTTAAGTGCTACTCAGAGGAAAGACCTTCAATCTGGCAGAGGGATGGGGACGCTAGTTAGAGAAATATTCCCAGAGGCGGTGACACTTGAAAGTAAGAATTAGCCAAGCAAAGAACGAGAAAGGCATTCCAGGTGAGGGGAACAGTATCAACAAAAGCAAAGAGTCATGTGACCGTATATAAATCAGAGACTCACAGAATTTCACTATTATAAGAGCATAAAGTGTGAACAGGGTTCCTTTTAGGGGTAGCAGGAACATGATTGGGGGTTTCACCCAGAAAACATACACCTGGCCCACATCAGCGTTCCCTTGCCTCTGCTTCCTGACAATACCTACCCCTACCCATGGGGTCTGGCTGTTCCAACAAGTGCCAAGTGCACAGAGAGAGAGGCAGAGGGTTACCCTAGGCGAGGAAAGATGAGAGGACTCTGTTGCTCTGGGGAGAGCACTGAAGTACTGACCCTCCTTCCCCATTAACCCATCTCCAGCTGCCACCCAAGGGGAAGCTTCGGAGCCTGTGCAGCCAGCATGTGGAAAAGCTGCAAACCTTCCAGCATCTGCACCCCATCGTGGTCCAAGCTGCTTTCCCCCCACTCTACAAGGAGCTCTTCAGCACTGAAATCGAGGCCCCCGAGGGGCTGTCCGAGTGACCTGGAGGAAGGACTCCTTTCCTGTCTAGAACCTGCTGGACCATCTCCCTGGACACCCCCCCCCCTCAGCCTTTTCCTTTCCCGTGACCCTGGAGGGTGGCCCTACCTGTTCTTTGGGACTGAGCAAATGCTGAGACTGGTTTTCTACCCACAGGCCCGCCTGGCCAGTGGGCCGAGACCCAGAGGACGGGGCGAGAGGAACAAGGTCTCCAGCCTCAGCTTTGCTTGATCCTCTCTCCCATGCCCCTTACCCCAGCTTCTGGAGCGAGGGGGTGGCGAATATTAGGACCTCTAGGAGGACCAAGGTGTCCTCGGGACAACAGGGGGGATCCAGGACAGCCTGGACAGATGGAACTCAGCTCTGGGCTCAGAAGCTAAGAATAGACCGTTGAAATACCTCATTGCATTTTCCCGTGGGCTTCAGCACAGGGGGAGCATCAAGCTGAGACTGGCGGCTGGAGCCCAGAAGGACCTGTACAGAACTTGAATCTGGACCTTTAGATTTTCTGCCTTCCCCCCTCCTCCCAGCCCAGCAAGGAAACGGTTGGGCACCCTGCCCTTCTCCTGGGGTCTAAAAAAAACACCCAAAAAAACCTGCATACATGGAGGGAGGGGCTGCGGATAATTTTTTATGGGATTTGGGTATAGGCTAGGGTACAAGGAGAGCCAAGAGCATCACAGACAGAGAGAGGGTTAGAACTCAAACCTCCCTCATGTGCACTTTAAGAATAGACGTTAGGGGTTAGCACAAATCTGATCCGGCACACTTCCGCAAACAGGGGAAGCACACACACACACACACACACACACACACACACACGCACTCGACCTGCAGTTATGCGGCTCTACAGACACATTTGATCTCACATGATCTCCGTCTTCCTTGAGGTCACTGAGGAGCTTAGCGGCCTCAGGAAGAGCACCAATCCTGAGGGACCCAGAGCATTCCCATGGTGCCCCACCCACCAATCTTAGACCTGGGGCGCTCCAAACGCTATCCCAGTCCAGCGGTCTCCTATCACAAGAAAATCCAAGAGACGCAGAGCTGGCTGGCCACTGGACAGTCCGAAGGCCACGGATGGACCCCCAGGAGGACTGTGTAGGCCCAGCTCTCGTGAGGGAGGAAGGAAGCAGGAACAGTTGCAGTCCGGCCACTCAGCGATTGGGAACCACCGACTGCAGCAGGGGGAGGAGGCCCTGTCTCCAGGTCTCCAGCCCCAGCCCCAGGCTTTACAATGAGCTGCCTGCCCTCTGCTGAGGGATGAACAGCAGAGGGAGGGGGTTTGCCTGTCAGGGGAGGGATTCATTGGGTAAACGTAAACCCCAATTTGTGCCATTCTTTATAAAATGATTTCAGAGGCAAGGGGTGTGTGTCTTCAATAAGATCATCTACACACGGCTCTGCGGTCTGGCTCCTAGGTGGGGACCCAGGTCTCCAGCCCAGCCAGCCGTCAGCAGTGTAAGGGCTCAGCCCCTACTTCGATCACCCCTCACTGAAGCTTGGGAGCGGATCCCCGGGAACCCCCACGCAAGGAGCCTCAGACTCAGCTCCGCAGGGGATGTTCCGGGCGGAGAACTTTCCCCACAAATGATACCCACAGGGGACATTGACAGCGAGAGGCTGCCGGGAATCGCCCTGCATCTGGGAAGACAGCCCTAAGGGGCTTGGCCCTGGAGCTCCCGGGAGGGAATCGGGATGTGGGAGAGACTCTTTGGAGCTGCCCTGCTGCTTCTACTGCTCGACCCCCACCCCTGGGGGCTCCAGACCCGCCCCCGCCCCCCCCCCTCACCCGCCTCCCAGCAGTGGCGCTGCTGCAGCCCTCCCTGGCTGCTTTATTTATTTATTTTGCACCAACGGGGTTGCTGCAGACTCATTCTCGCCTGGTTTAAAAAGAGAGAGAGAGGAAAAAAAATGCTTTCTGGTTCTTTTTTCTACCTCAGTCTTGGCAGCAGTGGCCGCAGCAGCAACAGCAGCGGCGGCGGGCAGGGCGGGTGGACTGGCAGGCGGGTGGGCAGGCAGGTGGGGGGCAGTGGGAGTGAGCACCAGGGGAGGTGAGGGCTCAGGTGCGGCTCGAATGGGACGAATGGGACGAGCCCCCAGCCCTGGGCAGATGCGGCGCCCAACTTGATGCGGCCCTCCAGCTTCTCCGGTAAGTGCCCCCGCCTCCAGTCCGGGGCTGCAACTGCCCTTCTCCACAGCGTTCTCAGAGAAAAGGCCAGACCCCTGCCGGTCAAGGCTAGAGGGTTTGTAGCCCCACCTCCATCCCGCCCCCCAGGTAACCATTGATCCTGGCCCCACAGGACTTTTGTGGGAGAACTAAGATGTCCCAAGTGCCCCTGGGGGCAGGGGCTCCAAGGAGACCTCCGTTCAGCTCCCCGGGGCTCCCTCTCTCTGAGAAGTGTCTTCCCACCCAAAGAGCAGTGTGGCTATTCCAGAAATCTTTCCTCTTGGAGCCCCCTCCCCACGCAGGTCCCCATGTCTCAGCGAGGTCTGCCTTAAAGAGGCTCTCCAGGTGCAAATGTGTTCCGGACGGCCACAGAGAGACAAGACAGCACCCCATTCCTTGAGGGGATGGCGCCCCAGCCCCCAGCCCATTTGAGGAGAGAGAAAAGTGGTTCTGACACCGATTTCTTCCTGCAAAGTGGCCGGAAGCCAGTCCTGTAGCCATGGAAATTGGCAAGGGAAGCCCGTGATGAAATTAGCCACCTTATAAATAAAGAAAATGGATTGGCCCCAGATCCCGCAGCCCCGGGCCCAGGAGGCTTTGGGAACGAAGAGGGAACAGGCGGCAGAGGGAAGGAGGGAAGGAGGGAAGGAGGGAAGCTGGGCTGCACGCTTCGCTGCACTTTTGCTGAGTGCAGAGCAAGAGGGATGAGCAGGAACTGCGGCTGGTGGTGACAAAGTGCTAGCTGCCGGGTGGACTTCCCAGAGCAGGCACAGGGAGAATGAGACAGGCCATCGATACCTGTGGGGTTGGCGTAGGGGCGAGAGGAGGCTGGTCAGCAGCCCTTGCCCGCCCTGTGCCCGCCCCATGCCATTCTTTCTCAAGCTCAAGCCTCAGAAGAGTGTCCTACATCCCGCTACTGTTTGGGCCTCTTTCTTCAGTTTTCCATTTCCTGCACGTCTGGAGTGGCTATAGGACAGCCACCACAGCGACCCTTCTAGCGGAGAGTGTCGAGTGGGAAGGGAAGGAGAAGGAATCCTACCACCTCGCAAACTGCCTCTCCTGAGTTCCGCGTGGGGGAAAGTGAGGCGTGCAGTAGCGAGCTAACCCTGTGAGAGCCAGAAAGCCTGAAGCCTGGGAGCCCAGATGTGACCAGGATCTGCAGTCAGAGAGAAACCCGGGCATCCTGCCTCCATCTGGCCAGCCCTTGCCAATTCCAAACCCTCCCCTCCCTGGGGGGTCCCTGTTGGCATTGGACAGGGTGTCAGGGGCTCCTCTCATCACCTTCTCCTCCATCACCTCAGTCGGTGCCCAGTGGGCACTGTAATCACAGCCTTCCTGACTTTGTCCACACCCCTGGCACCCAGAAACCCACTTTAAGTGAACAGGCTGCGCACGCAGCCTGTGCCCAGAGATCTGCTGTGCCTGCCAAGGGCCGCCTTGCTCCCCACCCACCTGTCTGAGCAGGTGCTGTCCCCCGCATACGTTTCTCTGTCTCCCTGGCTCGCAATCTGTCCCCTGTGTATTGCTCAGGAGGCTGAAGCCAAAAGGGACAAGAGATTTCCCTCAGATTCACACACTGGACTTGAATCAAAGCACCATGAAGAAGGGGCCTAGAAGAAGCTTAAGTCTGAGGACCAAGTAACAAAACTCCAAACTTGGGCATCTCACATACCCAACATCATCTACTGGGGAGGCGGGGCTGCCCTTGGGGTTCTTATGAGGGGCTCAAGTGGGCCCTGTGTCCTGTGCCACAGCTAATGTGCCGCTTGGCTGTGGTCCACACAGCATTCTGGGGAGAGTGGATCTCGCTAGTCCAGGGCCTCAGGCTCTGTGCCAGCTTAAAGGAAGGCAGACAGGCAGTCAGTGGAGGCTGGGGGGCTGCAGCCCGCACAGTTCCCAGCGTTGGGCGATGGACTCATGGTAAGGCCTCTCTCCAATCAGGATCCAAGGCTATGATCCCCCTGAGCCTTCAACAAAACTACAGGCAGATAATATGGGAGGAGAGGGTGGAAAGAGAGGAAGAGAACAGAGCTTGGGAAGAGCAGATAAGGGACCTGAAGCATTTCTGGATCTCACAGGTACAGAGGAAAACCCATTACAGGGAGACTCAAAGTTGCCTCCTGCTGCTTCCTATCCCAGTCCAGTCCCATAAAACTTCCCACAGAAATCAGTTTTTAAAAAATATTTTTTAAATTGATTTCAGAGAGGACAGGAGAGGGAGAAAGAGATAGGAACATCAATGATGAGAGAGAATCATCGATTGGCTGCCTCCTGCAGGCCCCCAATGGGGATCGAGCACGCAACTCAGGCATGTGCCCTGACCAGGAATCGAATCGTAACTTCCTGGTTCATAGGTCGGTGCTCAGCCACTGAGCCACGCCAGCTGGGCCAGAATTCAGTCTTGACTAGGGTTCCACTTGACCTGCAGGCACCCAGGACCGGGAGGAAGGGAAAGTAGAGCTTCCCCAAAAAGGAGCCCCCAGGAGGTACACACCAGAATTCCTCCTGGTCTGTGCCCCACTTCCCGGCAGTTCTGAGGTGGTGGCTCTCTCTCTTTTCTCTCTCTCTCTCTCTCTCTCTCTCTCTCTCTCTCTCTCTCTCTCCCCTAAGGAGGTCCAGGGAAGCCCAGGGTCACCATCATCTGAAGCCACTTTCCAAAAAAGGCCATGTCATCATCTGTTCCAGGACTGAAGAGGGGATGGCTGCCGTCACAATAGCTCCAAAGCAAGCCCGGCCCCCATGGCCGCCTCTCCTGCTCTTGCTCCTCCTGCCCGCAGGGAGCAGTGGCGGCTGCCCTGCTGTGTGTGACTGCACCTCCCAGCCCCGGGCAGTGCTCTGCGCCCACCGGCGGCTGGAGGCTGTGCCCGGGGGCCTCCCACTGGACACTGAGCTCCTGGACCTGAGTGGGAACCGTCTGTGGGCGCTGCAGCAGGGGATGCTCTCTCGCCTGGGCCTGCTCCGGGAACTGGACCTCAGCTACAACCAGCTGTCCAGCCTGGAGCCCGGGGCCTTCCACGGCCTGCAGAGCCTGCTGACCCTGAGGCTGCAGGGCAATCGGTTGCGAATCATGGGGCCTGGGGTCTTCTCGGGCCTGTCCGCCCTCACCGTGCTGGACCTCCGCCTCAACCAGATTGTCCTCTTCCTTGATGGAGCTTTTGGGGATCTGGGCAGCCTCCAGCAACTGGAGGTTGGGGACAACCACCTGGTGTTTGTGGCTCCGGGGGCCTTCGCCGGGCTGGCCAAGCTGAGCGCCCTCACCCTGGAGCGCTGCAACCTCAGCACGGTGCCTGGCCTGGCCCTGGCCCGGCTCCCTGAACTAGTGTCCCTCCGGCTTCGAGAACTGGATATCGGGAGGCTGCCGGCGGGGGCGCTCCAGGGGCTGGGGCAGCTCAAGGAGCTGGAGATCCATCACTGGCCCGCTCTGGAGGCCCTGGAGCCTGGGAGCCTGGCTGGGCTCAATCTGAGCAGCCTGGCCATCACCCGCTGCAATCTGAGCTCCGTGCCCTTCCAGGCGCTGCGCCACCTGAGCTTCCTCAGGGTCCTGGATCTCTCCCAGAACCCCATCTCGGCCATCCCCGCCCGAAGGCTCAGTCCGCTGGTGCGCCTCCAGGAGCTGCGGCTGTCGGGGGCCTGCCTCACCTCCATCGCCGCCCACGCCTTCCACGGCCTGACCGCCTTCCACCTCCTGGACGTGGCGGATAATGCCCTTCAGACACTCGAGGAGACAGCCTTCCCTTCTCCAGATAAACTGGTCACCCTGAAGCTGTCTGGCAACCCCCTGACCTGTGACTGCCGCCTCCTCTGGCTGCTCCGGCTCCGCCGCCGCCTGGACTTCGGGACGTCCCCGCCTGCCTGTGCTGGCCCTCGGCACGTCCAGGGGAAGAGCCTGAGGGAGTTCTCAGACATCCTCCCTCCAGGGCACTTCACTTGCCAACCAGCCCTGATCCAGAAGTCTGGGCCTCGCTGGGTCATCGCTGAGGAGGGCGGGCGCGCTGTCTTCTCCTGCTCTGGGGATGGAGACCCAGCCCCCACCGTCTCCTGGATGAGGCCTCCGGGGGCCTGGCTGGGGAGGGCTGGGAGAGTTCGGGTGCTGGAGGACGGGACCCTGGAGATCCGCTCGGTGCAGCTACGGGATAGAGGGGCCTATGTCTGTGTGGTGAGCAACGTCGCTGGGAATGACTCCCTGAGGACCTGGCTGGAAGTCATCCAAGTTGAGCCGCCAAACGGCACTCTCTTTGACCCCAACATCACTGCGCCAGGGGTCCCGGGGCCCTTCTTCCTGGACAGCAGAGGGGTAGCTATGGTGCTGGCAGTGGGCTTCCTCCCCTTCCTCACCTCCGTGACCCTCTGCTTTGGCCTCATTGCCCTCTGGAGCAAGGGCAAAGGTCGGGTCAAGCATCACATGACCTTTGACTTTGTGGCACCTCGGCCCTCTGGGGATAAGAACTCTGGGGGAAACCGGGTCACTGCCAAGCTCTTCTGACCTTTCCTTTCACTCTGGGGACCCAGCCAAGCCAGCTTCAGATACCAAAGGGGGAGGACCCACGGCCGCTTGGGCCAGAACCCAGTCCCAAGCAGCACAGGTCTCCCAGGCCTCCTGCCTGCACCGTGCCCGCGGCTATGGGACCTCCGGTTAGTCTGCCTCATGCTGCTCATGTCATCTCTTCCCCGAGGGCCCCAGGGAGCTGGTGTGGAGACCTTGTAGTCAGCCCAGCCCTCGCCCCACAATACACAAAGCAGGAACTATAACCAGGGCTCCAGTCTGCTCGTCCACCCATCAGGCTTTCTTTACACATACTTCCAGGCTTCAATAAGCAATAGCAATTGCCAACCACAGCTATACGATTACTTCAGAGGGAAGTGCCATTTGCTTCTTGGAGTCTCTGCTCCTCAACCAGGTGGTCTCCCCCTCTTTCTCCTCCATCCCCTCCCCCAGGCAGAAGGAAAGAGGGCCGAGGACCGCAGCTGAGGAGAAGAGGAGGTGAGTGCGGGATGGGGGAGGACAGACTACACCCTGGCACTGTGTCCGCATGAGCCTCCACATCCGGCCTCTGTCTGTCGCACCATTAAACCTGCTGCCCAAAGGCCCTGACAGTAGCAGCCCAGACTAAACGTGATTTCTGGAGTTTTCTTTACTTCAGACTTTTCCTGCCCCTTATTGCTGTCAAATCTCCCCTTTCCTATCCTTCCTGCCCATTGAGCATGTAGCCCAACGGCCTTGCCTAAATGTAATAAACAGGGGTTTATGCAAAAGGTGACCAGCCAGGTCTGGGGAGAGCAGCACTCCTAGTCCATTTCCGTTTTAACCCTTATATGTCTCTGGGGTGGGCGGAGCAATCCTCCACCTCCCAAGGGGTCCCTTTGCAGAATTCCGATCCAGGACACCCAGCTCTGACCCTCCATCCTCTCATTCCCTTGTCACAGATCCCTCTCATTCTCCCTCTCATTCCCTTGTCACAGATCCCTACTGCCCTTCAGGGAAGGCACGAGGGGAACTCCTAGAAAATGACTAACAAAAGCAAAATCTGCCCTTGTCAGAGGAGAGAGACCCAGAACAGAGCAGGGCTGGGCTTGGAGGAACAGGGAGGAGGGGCTGCGAGCTGTAGTGAAAAGTAGAGGTAGAGGCAGCCGCAGGAAAGCCTCCGGCTGCACTTCACTGCCCTCCGCAGTTGCCGTCCCGAGCGAGGCCACTGTCAGAGGCCTCTGGAAGCCGTCCCGAGTGAGGCCACTGTCTGACAGAGACTTCTGATGCAGAGGCGGGGCGGGAGCTCGAGATGCTGACGGCCTCTGAGTGTGCTTCAAATAGAGGGCAGAGCGGAGCCAGAAAAAAGTAGAGATGCTGAGCGCTCAAGGGACAGCAGCCGAGACAGGAAGAGTGAAGGGAGAGAAAAGGAGCAGGGAGGAGGGGCCAAGAGTGGAGATTCACAGCCCTGGCAAGCCTCTCCGCAGCAGCATCTGCAGGGCGTCCACCCCAGGAGCCCCCACCACCCTCACCCCCCTTACAGCACCGTGAGCCTCACAGCTGATTCCTGCTGCTGCTGTCCCTGTCCTGCGGAGACCACTCGTTACAGTCCCCAGGGAGGGAGAGGAGCCGGCCCAAGGAGGGAAAGGAGCCGGCACCACCAGGACAGCTCCTCAGTGGGGCAGAGGTGAATGTGAGACCCCGCAGTTTGGAGATTGAAGCTGGAAAATCAACCATCGTCAGAAATGGGTACCCTTGAGCCTCCAACCCTACCCCCACCTTGCACACAATTCTCTTCGCATCCCAACAACTCCCTCTCCAGCTCCTAAGACCCCAGGAAGGCTTCCCTGGCGGGTCGCAGCCCTGTCCCTCCTTCCCAAATGCTCCGCCAGCATCTGATTAGGTTGGCAGCGGGGTCAGGTGCTAGTGTTTCTCACTCGAGTTGCCTACTCTGCAATGCAGAGGAGAGCGGAAGCCGCACTGCTGTCAGAGCAGCCCCCTGAGGCGGTGGGGACAGGGCACAGATGGTGCGTGTCTGGAGCAGGAGGTGCTGCTGCCTGTGTCCCAGGGGCTCCAGGGCAGCCCAACAGAAACAGAGTACGTACGAGTCGCAGGTGTAAGGTCAAATTTTCTAATGTCACATTTAAAAGCAAAGAGAAACACACACAAATTATTTTAATACTATACATTTTATTTAATTTAACCTAATTTACCCAGACTATTATTTCAACATATTATCAATATAAACATTAGTGATGAACATTGTCTTGTCATATGAGGTCTTTGAAATCCAGTGTATATTTCACACTTACAGCACATTCCAATTCAATCAGTAAATTTTCACCAGAAATATCTGATCTGTATTTAGATTTCATAAAATTCACTGTTGAAAAATTTGATTCACACATCCAAGCTGTCCCAAACATATTAAAAGTTTTACAATAACAAAATCAAGAATTGGTTTTCACATTTACATGAATTAAAATTGAATAAATGTAAAATTCCACTCCTGAGTTGGTTGCCTCCTGCACGCCCCCTATTGGGGATTGAGACCACAACCTGGGCATGTGCCCTTGATCGGAATCAAACCTGGGACCCTTCAGTCCGCAGGCCAGTGCTCTTTCCACTGAGCGAAACCAGCCAGGGCCCACTACTTTCTTTTAAGTGGCCAGTGTGTTGGACAGCACAGCCCTAATCACTACAACTCTGGGCACAGACTAGGACCTCCTTGGCAGAGATGGGCAAGTACCGCTCAAGAAACACATTGGAGCTGGGGGAGGGGGGAATGCTCTCCCCCGCTCACTGCCATCCCTTATTCTTCGTAACTGCTTTTCCAGAGACCTTGGAGAAGTGAGTCCCCTCAGATGAGCACTTCCATGGCCTATACAATCAGCAAATCAATCCCCATCACACCTGTCTGGGAAGGCTGCCCTTAGCTCAGGTATGACTGTGTAGACGTGTGTGTGTGTGTGTGTGTGTGTGTGTGTGTGTGTGTGTGTACAAGTGTGTGAAGCAACCAGGGACACAGGCGGCTGTGTGCATGTGTGTGCATGTGCAGCGATGTTCCGGTCCACATCTTTGGGATAATCAATGGAGCTCTCCCCGGGGTGAGACATTTATTGAGGCCTATTCTGTCAGTGACTTTATCTTTGCTTTCTTATTCAATCCTCACATCAATCCTATAAGATTGATGTGAGGCTCTTAGCTGATCATGGAACTAAAGGTCAAATAGATTAAGAAACGTGCTCGAGTACACAGGGCCAGTTAGTGCGGGAGCTGCATTGGAACTCAGGGCCGACTCAAAACCCAAATGCCTCCACCAAACTGCGATGCTGCTCTAGTCCCTGCCTGTTCCTGCAACTCTTCCCCAGGGCCTCTCCGCTGCAGGACCCGACCTGTGAGAAAGGCAAAATCCAGGGTCATCTTCCACTCCACTAGCTCTCCACAACTCTTTTAGGGGGACTGGGGCCAACTGTTAATCCTCACTTCCTTCAGTAACTGCAATGCAACTGACTCAGGAAGTTGAGGATTGGTTGGTTTTTACTCTTTCTTCTCGGTCACCTCTCCCAGCGTCCTTGCGGCCTCTTTCCCAGGGACCAGCAGAGAGCAGCAGGAATTCCAGGGATCAGATGGACTGAACTGAAACGCCTGGCAGAGCCTCTCACGATTAAAACGGGGCTTCAGATTTCCTAGGTCCTTTTTTGGGTTCTAACCTCAACCTCCTAGGTTACAGAGAGGCTGCTCGGGAATTTCTTGTACGGTGGAACATCTGTGAGCTGTTTCAGCCTTGAGGGGGATTTGACTCGGCCCACCTTCTGCCTACCCCGGCTTGACCGAACCTGCCGGGGGTCATTCCATCCACCCTCCCTCAACCCCTCCCCATTTCCATTTCAGACAGGGTGTCACCTAAGCCGAGAGACACTGGGACCCAAAGATACATGGGGAGCGCTGGCAGCATTTCAGCGCTCCCCATGTTGGTCCCTGATATATTTTAATTTCTGTATTGCCTTCGCTGTGCTGGGTCCCTGATCAAAGGATGAGAAGCCTGTCAACCTTTTTTGAGTCACAGATCCCTCTGAGAATACCCGGTGCAAGCTATGAAGAAAAATGTTTATAGATTGTCCACAGTCATCCTGAAGCCACCACAGATCCCACAGAACGCAGGTAACAACCTCTGCTGTGACCAGCCCCAGGGGGCAGGGGAACGAGGAGGGCTTAGGCTGCCTGTGCGCCCCACGGTCCATTAGAGGCAAGGAGGAAAGGCTGGGAAGACTGTCAAACATCAAAAAGCTTGGTAACAAATTGCATAAGCATGTTGATGGGAGAGAAAATTAGTAGTAAAACTTCCATGGAAGGCAATTTCCAATTCTGTCTATACCGATATCCTGTTAATCATTTCTGGTGGAATGAAAATGACAAAAGTCTTCCTGGGAGGAAAGGAATTTGCAGAAGGCACCTATCCAAGTGGGACAAAGACACCACACACAATTCTCTGACCTAGTATTTGCAGTCCCGAGTATTTATTATACAGATATGCAAGAGCCAAAGGGAATAGACTTGGGTATCAATATAATAGTCAAGTGTGGTTGAATATATCAATATATCCCTCAGGCTTACTATGAAACTTTCCTATGGGGCAGACACGTATGTACTGCTATGAAAAGACATCTAGACTCTATAAAAGGAAATTGCAAAATAGTATGGATAGTATGTTATCAGCTGGTTAAATGGTATATATGCATGTTTAGACTATAGACTATCTTGTGAAAATTCACAAAAAATCTGGTAATATTGGTTGCTTCTGGGGGAAAGAAGATGTATTCGCTTGTAATAACCTTTATTCCTTTTGGATTTTGTAGACTGTGCATGTGTTATTCAAAACACGCGTGCTTTTTAAATGAATACAAACGACAAACTGAGTCTCGAAGGAATCTCTCTAGCTGACGGAAGAGATAATCTTGCGTTCATTCAACGTTCCCCGAGCGTTTATCCCGCGCCAGGCACGGCGATAGGAGCTCGTGCGGAAGACCCCCGCCCGACAAGGAGCGCCCACCCGCTGGGCCCCGGGGCGAGTCCTGGTGCGGGGCAGGGGCTGCGCTGGGAGGGGCGCAGGGCCGCC